TATAAGAGCTAACAATTACATTTATATCAGTATAAGTATAATAATTTTTTAACCATTCTATTATATGATCTACTAACTAATTATAAATTTAAGAAGTTACTTACTCACCAAAAATAATATTGCAAAATTTTATCTTCAAGTTGTTTATTCTAATATTAATATTATTATTTATCTCATTAAGCTTTGTTTTTAAATAGCTAAGTAATTTTAATGGCATAATCAAAACCCCTTAAATCATAAATAATAATAATTTTCAACCAATTAGTTAGTCACGATCTCTGAAATTATAAAATCAATATTATTTATTACAATTTATTTTATAAATATAGCGATTCACATGTAAGTTATACAATTTATAGTTATATTGTTTATTTGAACTAATTTTCAAAATGTGTATACTCATTATTTAACTTATAACTTTAAATTTTGAATAAATATTGTATACTGATAGAAAAGACAAAGCTTCATCATAAAAGCCATTAATGGAGCTTAAGCTCGAAGAAGAGAGTGTTGTTTTCAATGTCTCATAAATCTGATACATGGTTTGCCTATATATAGAAAATGAACCCTAATCTCATGTAATCCTAACCACACATGAAAGAGAAACAATCTCAACCATACACTTGTAATATAAGGCAACAGAAGCAAACAAAAGTAAAAGGAAAATGAAGAGGCTCTCATGCATTGCACATGCAGTACGTCCATCTCGTGCTATAGAGGAAAGATCACGTGCCATGTAAGTCTTGGATGCTAACAGGCCCCCTCAAGCCAAGCGAGGTGGGACTCACAACTCCTAATGTCTCAGCCGAGTGAAGGATTGATGATTCAAAGGCTTTGTCAAAATGTCTGCCAATTAGTCTGATGAAGGAATATGATGGATTGCAAGTAATTCCTTGCTAATTTTGTCTCTAACAAAATGAATATCAAGCTCAATGTGTTTAGTTCGAGCATTCAGAATTGGATTAGAAGCTAAAACAATGGCTCCCAAATTATCAACCCAAACAGTTG